AGCAGGGAGCCCGATGCGGGACTCGATCCCGGGACTCCAGGATCATGACCTGAGCCGAAGGCAGTCGCTTAACCAACTGAGCCACCCAGGCGCCCACTAGTCTTTTTTTTAAAGATTATTTATTTTGGGGAGTTGGGAAGGGGCAGAGGGAGAGGGAAATTCAGAATCTGAAGCAGACTCTGCACTAAGCGTGGAGCCCGACGTGGGACTCGATCCCACCACCCTGAGATCATGACCTGAGCTGAAACCAAGAGTCAGAGGCTTAGCCGACTGCATCACCCAGACACCCCTCTAATTTTTAACATTGTGAGTATCATGACTATATTTTCTAGGAGTCTGGATAACTCAAATGAGAATGGTTACGATGCCAGCATGACCCAGACATCACCGAATACACAGACTAAATGATTAAGGTAGTTTCATCACAAACTGGAGGACATGTGTAACTGGATTAGGGAAGTAACCGGAGCAGATCACACCGCACACCGTGCAGAAAGGAGCATCTGCTTGCGCATGTGCAGAGAGGTACAGGCAAACACATACGGAGACTGAATCTTACAAGTTCAGCATAAGGCAGGTGAGCACTTCTAAATCTATCAATAGAGGGGTTTTTGTCTCCTGGAAACATACCAATGCTCAGTAGAAACTAGCAACCACTGAATTGGCTTGGGCACACCACACGAACAAGCAGACATCACTGTATTGTATTGTTCCCTGAAATGATCTGTGAAACTGAGCACCCTTCCATTTCCTGATTGAGACATTGCAACTCAAATGTCTTGCAGGCTAACCTAACCCTAAAGGGGAAATCCTGATAACAGAAGTGTTGGCCCCTTAGGGTGCAAAACCGATTCTATTAGATCTTCCTACAGTTACTCATGCTATAGTTCTTCATCCTATAGTCAGGCAGGCAACTGCAGCGGGGCATCAACAAGAAATGTCCTTCCCCCTCCCCCCACCCCCAGCTCTTAGGTACTTTGGTTTGAAAAACAGAGTTTCAATCATCTTCTTAATTTCTACGATGACTGTAATGAAATCGCAGAAAACATAAAAGATTGCTGATCTTTTATCAAAGACAAACTAGGCTTTTCTTATTTATTTGCCTATTTGGCAGGCAGTGCAAATTTAAATTTCGGCCCATCCCATTCAGTCCATGTTTCTTACCAAGGAAAATGAAAAGATCCTACTTGTTAGATGTCCTGGACATCTTATGTACAACATCGCTAAAACAGATGTGATTTACTTACCTATGATACTGAGGCTTCATAATGTGCATTTTGGTCAGGTTTCCATTTCCTCAAAATGTACAGAAACATTTAATGAGATTTTTACTTGATCACTTGTACTTCATTACATAAAATCTGCTTTGACTTGCAGCTCAGCAAGCCCACATCACGCTGATTCCTGGTGTCCATCTGACGTGATGCCATCAAGCTCACTACTCTCTCAACAAAAGCATGGACCATGGAAGAATTAGGATTTTCAGTTTTACCACCACATAAGAGAAGAGAAGGGCATCCTCAAGAATGCAGGCAGTTTGGAGAATTATTACTGGAAAAGGAAATAGATAAAGCAAAACTCAGGATGCCTGGGTGGCTCAGTTGGTTCAGCATCTGCCTTCAGCTCATGATCCCAGGGTCCTGGGATCGAGTCCCACATCAGGCTCCTTGCTCAGCGGGGAGCCTGCTTCTCTCTCTCCCTCTGTCTGCCGCTCCCCCTGCTTGTGCTTGCTTACTCTCTCTCTGACAAATAAATAAAATCTTTAAAAAAAAAAAAAAAGAAGAAGAAGAAAAACTCTTACTGTATCAGACAGAAAGAAATACGTGGTTGTTTTTTATTCAATAGAGGTAACTTGCTTTTTAATTAGTACTATTGGGTTTACATTCTGCTTTTTAAAAGTCTTGCACTTATGTAGCTTAAGAACATACATGCTTGCCTGGACCCAGTTCCCTGGGGCTGGTGCTCTGCTGGGATTAGATGCCTTGGGGTCGTTCTGGTTCTTCATTTTTCTGGTCTGCATTTCCCCCTTTTCTTCACCAGGCCCTTGCACTGTTGTACCACAGACATGGTGTTATCCCCGCTGGCTTATCCTGGGAAGGATGAGATTTGCCTGTCTGCCCACGCTCTGCAGCAAAGGCAGCTCCAGGGACGGTGTCCAGGCATCTGCCCTTGAGAGCCTCAGGAGGGCAGGTCCCTTCGTTACACAAACTTGTCCGTGTCCTTGGCATTTTTGCTGCTTCTTCATACTTTTCAGAGTGACATTCTTTCCTCTGTCCAGCTGACCCAACACACCATGCATCCCATAATTTCTGGCCCATCAGAGAAGGAAGGGATTCAAATTACTTGGGTCTGAAATTGTCTCACACGTCACCACCTCACTGGTAAATATTTACTGAGTTAAAAAAGAAATACTATTGTGACACACATCGACTCCCTGGACTCTGAAACCTCTGTAACATCAGGGGCGTCAAAGTAGGTTCGACAACTTTCAAACCTTAATTCCGAGCATGTTAATATTATAAAACACAGTCAAACAAAATTGAGGAATTCCACTAGGCAGTGGTTCTGAGCCTTGCCTGCATATTGAAATAGATATCCCAATTTTAAAATCTATTTCTAAATATATATATACACACACACACAAATATATATATATATTAAGATCTTATTTTTAAGTAAGCTCTATACCCAACATGGGGCTTGAACTCACAGCCCTGAGATCAAGAGTCACATGCTCTACCCACTGAGCCAGCCATGTGCCCTGCCAGCTTATTTTCTTTCAGGATTATCAATTTCCTTAGAGAATCTAGCTTCTATTTGTACAGACTCTGCTCAAAAGTTTTTCACAGCATAAACCAAGTGCTTACCTACTGAAGGGAGTGCTGACTGAAGTATTTATCATTCTTATTCTGATTATCTTTATCAACAAAGTCAGTATGCTCAATGGCAAGCACAAATCCTCAGTTCAACCACCAAAGGTGAAATGGAGACTCTCGATGACATACTCTGCTTTCTGGTTAACATACCCTACCTCCTCACCTCTGCACTCCTTTGACTGGCACATTCTGCCTCCTCAGAATCCTGAGGGTCATCGGCTCGCTGGACCACTTCAACATCTGCACATGTCCCCCTACACTGACACCTGTCCCTTCCCCACACTGTTCTCAATACTCCCTCAGGCTTCACGCCCACCGCTTCTAGTTGGCCTCCTGGGTTGAACGGAGCCATCCTTTGTGAACAGAGTCAAGCATTTTGAAAGCATTCGTGTTACTGCAAAACCTCCGCCAGTGGTAGTTGTGGTGGGATGCAGTCGTGGGAGGGGGCAGTGACGGCGGCAAAGGGAGTTGAGATGATGGTGGCTGCTGCGGAGGCAGCCATGACAGGCTGGGAGAATGGTGGCTGTGGCCGTGGGTCTCATTGCAATGAATGGCCACAGGGTGGCTCCCACTGAGCGAACCCCACTGCAGCTGCTGCTCTTCGCTGGAGTTTTCTCTCCCCCAAAGCCCACTCTGCCTGTGTGTCTGGCAAACAGGGAGCAGCTCGGAAATTAAAATCCCAGCCCCCTAAGTGACCCTGAACAAAATGATTGATGGGGGTTAGTGTATAAATACCCCCACCCCTTGTGGGGGAAGAGTATGTTCTCCATTGTTTCCAGAGTTCCCCAGAGAGTTAAGCTGTTGCCCACTGGTAACTTGCTCAACTGATAATGCAGCCTTGATATGCTGCTTTCCCTTCCTGTCTCACTTCCCTCTGCCCTGCCAGTGCTTTCTGAGGCCATCTCCCAAAAAGCGTTGCCTCAAAATCTGTTTCTGGGGGAACCCAACCTAAGATAGTGCATCATGAACCAAGGATTATGATTCAAGCACAGATGGCACATTAACAAAAGCCAACCCTACGCCAAGCCATGAAAAGTCTCAACATATTTCTAAAGATTGAGACCATATAAAATATGTCCCTAATCCAACTGCAATTAGGCAAGGTAACGAGAAAATCCCCACATGTTCAGAAATTTAAAAATAGTTTTAAACTTCTAAATAATCTGGGATCAATGAAAAATGCAAAATAGAAAAGCTTGCTTTGTGGGGAATTTAAGTGTGTACATTAAAGAAAAAAAAAAAGGCTAAAAATCAGTGAGCTAAACATTCACTTCAAAAAGATAGAATACAAAATTAAATCCAAAAAAGGTAATTATAAGGAAGATAATTAAGTTAAAAACAAATATACAAAGAACACCAGCAAAGCCAAAAGTAAATTCTGTGAAAAGATTAATAAATTGGTAAACCATCAAGATGGAATAAGAAAAAAAGAAAGCGGGCACAAATAACCAATGTCAGAAATGAGAAAGGGGCTCTCACTACAGATTCTGTAGGTCTTAAAAAGATTATATGAGGATATTATGAACAAATTTACAGCAATTTGAAAATTCAGATCATGTGAAAACTCCCTAAATACAATTCATCAAAACAGACAGAGGAATAGAAACGATTTTTAAGATTTACTTACTTATTTATTCATAAGAGGCAGAGGCAGGGAGCCTGATGCAGGACTCGATCCCAGGACTCTCATCTCTCTCCCCCATCCGTGCCTGTCTGCCCTCTGCCCTTTGGGACCTGCCCCTGCTGGGGAGCTGGTGATCAACCAGCCGGGCCCACAGAACATGTACTCCTGAGGAGAAACTGAGAAGCTGCCGCAGCCACTGCTGATCCCCACCCACATCCACTCAGCACTCTTCTGGGTGCTGAACGTTGCTTACTTGATTCTTGGCTACTCTCCGTTCAGGGCTCGTGTGATGGCAGGGCACGTGACCACACATGGGGCAGGCAGAAGTGCAAGATGGTCAATGCGCATGAAAACTGCCCCCAATGACAGATGGGCAGTTGGTGATCTATACCCCAACCTCCTTGCCCCTTAGATTGAGCCCATCACCCACTGTGGTAACTGGCTTGATTACGCACCTTTTATTGGCTGCCTTCCTCTCTGTCTTACCTCTCCACTCCCCTCCAAATGTTTCTGGAATCACATTCCAAATATTCTATCTGCACTCCAATTCTCAAGGTTGGATTCTGGAAGAACACAAACCGAGACAGAAGAGAAGTCCAGGACAGTGGACTCTAAGCCACACTGTTCCCAGTAATAAAGCCAGTATTTTCATTCCCACTGCCTAGTGCGCAGGTCTATCACACAACTGGCTCAAAATTCAGGAGGAAAAGAAGTGTGATATTATTGCCCCCTAAACCTCAAGGAAACACTCAATAAAGACTCGGTAAATGCTCGAGTGGAAGCGAGAAAGAGCCTTTTCCCATGTCTGTGCAGCAGGAGACAGGAAGTGGCTGTTGGCAGAGTTAACGAGGAAAGAGGGGTCGTCTTAACCCTGGTGAGCAGGCCCTTCCTAGGCACACTGCGTGAAGCTGGGGAACAGAGGAGCGGGGTTTCCGCCCAGCCAGCTCTCCCCTCAGTTTCCCCTCAGCTGCTGAAGGCAGAAGTCAAAGTCTGGTATGCAGAGTCTTTATTTATTGTGAGTCCTGCTGTCCAGAGAAGCCAGACTCCCATCCAGGCCCCTCATGACTCCACCTGGCCACTCTTCAGGCGTGGGGGCATCAAATGGCCAGTCGCTCAGGTCCAGTTTTCCTCTGGTTCAAAGAGTCTTCAGGAGGCAGGAAGTGGCTTTGCCTGTGGAAAAAACACATGAACATCTACTAGCACCTATTTTGTGCCTGGCCCTGGGACCCCTACTGAGGGAGGTTATGTAGACAGCAGAAGCTGCCCTTGCCAAGTCCAGAGTCTGGAGAGAGAAAGGGTATCAGGTGATGGCCTTGGCCATCTGCCATGTGAACACGTCTGACACAGTGAACTATCACTGGGAGCAGGGAAGGCACCATTTGCTGTATTTACTGAGCACGTGCGGTGTGCCTGGCATTGTTACAGGGCAACGGATGAAGCAGGCACAAATCTCTGACTCTAGGAAGAGACAGACAACAAATAAACAATAAAAAGATGTCAACTGTCTACAAAGAGGAGGATGGTGAGGAGGACCAGGTGTGGGGGGAATCACTCTGAGTGCACTCAGGAGCCACGAGAAGGCTGGAAAGGGGAGAGATGTGACCTCACTTCCATTTTTACAAGGTCCTGTGGCTGTCAGGGGAGAGCAGATTTGGGGGCAGGATGGCCACAGGAAGACCAGGGAGAAGCTGGCTGCTTAACCAGGGCGGGAACAACGAGCCCTGAGATGGAAAGGTGAGGCCTTTACTGTTCAGATGCCCCAAAACTTGAAAGAAAGAACATATGACTAACATAGAGCCAATATATAGATTAAGAAACTAACATGAATAGTATGCAATCATTACTAAATCATTTCTAAGAATTAAAAGTCCTACCTGCTGGTGTCTGCTCCTAGGGCCTGAACCTTTCACTTATTACTGCCGTATTAAAACAAAACAAGGACTACAGGGCCTGGTGGAAGGGCATCTCCCCCATCTTCAGCCTAGAACTCCTCTGAGATAGGCAATGGGAATGAAGCAGTTATAAGGCAGTAAGATATAAGCCATAATGGAAGGAGCTCAGAGACCATGGGAGCCCAGGGATGGGCCCGCAGGAGAGGTTTTATTGGACTTTAGATTTGGCCTGATGCAAGTGAGGAGCCATGGAAAGCTTTTTTTGTTTTTATTTATTTGTTTTGTTTTTTTAAAGATTTTATTTATTTATTTGACAGAGAGAGACACAGCGAGAGAGGGAACACAAGCAGGGGGAGTGGCAGAGGGAGAGGGAGAAGCAGGCTCCCTGCCCAGCAGGGAGCCCGACGTGAGCTCGATCCCAGGGTCCCAGGATCATGACCTGAGCTGAAGGCAGATGCTTAACTGAAAGGTTTTGAAGTGAAACAGAACATGGGGCGCCTGGGTGGCTCAGTCGATTAAGCGTCCGACTCCTGATTTTGGCTCAGGTCACAATCTCAGGGTTGTGAGACTGAGCTCCACGTCAGTGTGGAGCCTGCTTAGGATTCCCTCTCTCCCTCCCTCTCTCTCTGTCCCTCTCCCCGCTCACACTCTCTTTCTCTCTCTCTCTCAAAAAAAAAATAAATAAGTGAAGCAGAACATGGTCAGATTTCCTTTGAGATCGCTCTGGGACCATCACAGAGAATGGACTGAAAGTGATAATACAGAGCACAGAGGCTCAAATGAGAGAATGTTAAGAGGGAGGTGGTACAAGATGTGACTTTTGCCTTAGGAGCGCACAGTCCAGTGAGGGGAGGCAGTAAACATCTAAAGTAGCATTTCTCAACTTTGTTTTTATTACTGCTCCCCCAAGGGGTCTTTTAAGACAGCTTTTAAAAATTGCAGCCATCCATGAAATCTTAATACCATAGTTATACTGCATATCTGTTTATGTACTGTATACATTAAAGAGAGTAAGACTCATTTGCCCCCACCTCACCCCCTCACCCAGTACAGCTGAGGGACAATGAGGAAGGGAACAAGAGAGCAGGTAAGGAAGGAGGTGGTTGAGGTCAGCCCAGGGAAGAACACAGAGAACCCAGCAAGGACCTGGGATTTTGTTCTGTGAATGGGAAGCTATTGAAGAGCTCTAAGCAAATATGTAATGTGAATAGTTTTCAGTTCCTAAATATTCTCTCTGGCCACTGTGTGGGGGGCAAGTGAGAGGGGATTCAGAGAGTCAGGGAAAAGGCGGGGGCAGGGATCCTGGAGGTGAACAGGTCAGGGAGGTGTCTGGACTCAAGCAGGGACTATGGGAAGGGGCAAGAGGTTATCATGTTCTGGATCCCAGGTGCATGGTGCAGGTCTGTGTGGGGCGTAGGGTGGGGCTGAGGATAACTCCCAGGTCTTTATTCTGAGCAACCAGAAGGATGAAGGGGGTGAGAACGGATGAGCCCCCCGCCCCCCCGCCTCACCTCCACCGCTGAGGGTAAGCGTGGTGGCCGCACCTGCTCGGCACACTGAAGGAAGCGGCGCACATGCTCTGCACAGTTGCCCACGGCTGCCTCGTTCTGTCGAAGACACTCCTCAAAGGCCTCAAAAGGCTCAGCACAGGCCTGGCGGATCTGACGGATGATTGGGCTGTGGAGGAAGGGCATTTCAGGCATTCACACTTCCACTCCACCGCCTACCCGCCCCCCCCCACACACCCCCTCCCATTCTTGTCCACACTCACTGGGAGGACGTGCATTGAGCAATACTCATCTTAAGGTGGTGACAGTCCCGCTGCCAGGACTCAGGCTTGGCCGCCACACACTGGCCATACTGCTCCAGCTCCCGGCCACAGTAGCGAGCAGTGACCTCCAGGGCTGCCTGCCTGTGGGACATGGTGGGCTGAGGATAATTCCAGACAACAGACAAGGGAGTTCTGATTTTGGTAGGAGGATGGAGCAGGGAACTACACTAGGGATCTCGGGCAGATCCGGGCATCTGAAGGATCCTGGATAGAGCCAGGGAGATGGAGGGGGAGGTAAGGCATGAGCGCTGGGGATTATGGAACAGGGTGGGGGCTTCTGGGAAGATGGTGGAGATCTTTTCCAAAAAAGATCTAATCATTCGAAGGCAAGCCTTGGGGTCCTGGAAGAAGGGTCTTGGAGTTCGGGCATCCCCCAATAGGGCCTTAAAAGTAAGATCTTGAGTTCTAGGAGAAAACCTGGGAGCCCTAAAGGGGTTTGGAGTTCTAAAAAGAGGTTTAGAAGTCCAAGGGGTAAGGTCTTTGGTCCTGGGTAAGGGTTTATTGGCCAGTCTTAAAGATTAGGCCTGAGCACAGGGGTCCTGGAGATGAGACTTGAAGCCCTGGAGTGGGTTTGGGGGTCCTAGGGTGGGTCCCAGAGTTCTAGGGGCATGATGTGGAAACCCTGGGGAAGGTTGGGGCTCTGGGACAGATCTGGAGGTTCCTACAAGTAAGCTCTTGGGAACAAGATCTGGAAATCTAGAGCGGGACCAATGGTCTAGGAACAAGTCTGTGGGTGCTACAGGTGAGGTCTGGGATACTGTGCAGATCCTAAGGTTCAAAAGGTATGTTTAGGTGATCTAGGGGGATGAACCCGGAGCTCTAAGAACGTGTCTAAGAATCGTAGAGGTCGGGCGCCTGGGTGGCTCAGATGGTTAAGCGTCTGCCTTTGGCTCAGGTCATGATCCCAGGGTCCTGGGATCGAGTCCCGCATCGGGCTCCCT